GGCTCCTCATTCCGGCCATTCTGTTTTTTGTTTCAGGCTCCTCAGACACAGTCTGTGACCTGCTGGGGGCTAAAGGGAAGGATATTCTGTACATTGGAGATCACATCTTCGGAGACATCCTCAAATCCAAGAAGCGCCAGGGCTGGAGGACCTTCCTAGTGATCCCTGAGTTGGCACAGGAACTACACGTCTGGACTGACAAAAGCGGTCAGCAGGGGGGCACAGGGGAGAGATCGCACTGTCTTGCAACCTTTCTCCCAAACCCATCTTAGATTCCCTGGGATGAGGTGTTGGTGCAGCAGCTGGGTTGCTCACAGGGTCCCAGGGTTTTTGCCTTTGATCACCCAGCCTTGACTTGGCCAGAGGAGAAGCTGCTGCTGGTTGGGGTTGAGCTCATCTGTAACCTTGTTCCCAAAACTCTGTCTCTGTAGTGCCGTGTCTTCTCTAGTAAAAAGTATCTAACAAGATAGCCATTTTTTTTGACCCTCTGTCACCTGATCCATGACTGCTCTCCAGTCTGCAGAGAATCCCTGCTTACCAGGTGCTTCCTCTCCCTTCCTCCTCCTCCTCCTCCCTCTGCTGCCAAAGTGCTGTTTCCCAAACTTGAGCACTCCTGCTTTTCTCCCAGGTTTACATGCTGACATGTGAGTCGGTCTGGGGGTTATGCACATTGTCCCACGAGTGGTAGGAAGTTTCTATGAGGGCTGTGAAGGTTCAGCCTCAAAAAACTGAAGTGGTAACCAGAAACCAATCCCAGAGCTCTGTTGATGGCATAGAGCGCAATCGAACCCTTTCCCTGCACAGCGCTGTGACATACATCCCCCACCACGGTCATGTGGGCAGGATGGTGCATTTGTTTTCAGCCCTTTCATTTTGAGGTTAAACTCACCTTTTCCCCCTTTCTTTTCCGGGTCATCCAGCCCTTTTTGAAGAGTTGCAGAGCCTGGACATCTTCTTGGCCGAGTTATACAAGTGAGTGTTCAAATGCTGACCAGTGTACTGCTGCCTTTCCCAGCCTAGCAACAGCTAATGCGTGGCTCTGACGAACCCTTGGGGTTGGGTTGGCAGCACTGCTGCCAGAGCTTTGCCTCAGGCCTGGGTTCTGCCCCTGAGACCAACCTCCCCCTCCAGACCAGCCTCCCTCCCTAAGCCCCCATCTCACAACATCTGGTTCTGAAAGGCTTTTCACAGCATGTATTTACCTTCTCGCCTGTAACTAGGCATCTGGACAGTAGCAGCAATGAACGCCCTGACATCAGCTCCATCCAGAGACGCATTAAGGTACCAATCATAAAAATCCCTTTTCATCCTTTTGGATCCCAAAGGGCTTGACAACCCGACCCACTGCTCAGCCCTGAAATGCTTTGCTCTGCCTTTGGGTGGGCATGGCAGGCTTTGCAAAGCCGTTTTGTCTGTGGACGCAAACGGAGGAGCTTCCCAGCTCACTGGTGTCACTGGCACTCCTAAAGGCAGCCTGGTCTGGAATAGGGTCTCCTTCCTTAAGTACGTAGCACCTACTTACAGTGCTCGCTGCTGCAGAGCAGGGTGCTGATGTGTGCCTGAAGGGGCCGTAGCCTCCGGTTCATTCAGCCCTGCGTGCGAGGTCCCAGCCTGGGGCGGGTGCTGGCCCTGGTGCCACTGCTGCCTTCCCTTCTGTTAGCTGGGGCCCGGCTGCGCTTTGATGCCTTGGGATAAGAGCACACAAAAGCTCACTGGAGATCCTTGCAGGCTTTACGTAGCCCCCAGCCTTCAGTGACGCTGAGGCAGGGCCGGCTCTGCGCTGCCGTGTGCCCGGGCCGGGATTTAACCTATCCTTTGCTTGTAGAAAGTGACCCATGACATGGACATGTGCTATGGGATGATGGGGAGCCTCTTCCGCAGCGGCTCCCGGCAGACCCTGTTTGCCAGCCAGGTGATGCGCTACGCCGACCTCTATGCAGCCTCCTTCATCAACCTCCTTTACTACCCTTTCAGCTACCTCTTCAGAGCCGCCCATGTCCTGGTGAGTTGCAGGCACTGGGGGGCACGCCACGAGCTGGCAGCACTGGGAGGATGGGGTGGTACGTTCTGGGGCCTTGTGCTCTGGTTGCCTCGCCATCTCCTCTCTCTCTTACACCTTTAGATGCCACACGAGTCCACAGTAGAGCACACACACGTGGACATCAACGAGAAGGAGTCGCCCATGGCCACGCGCAATCGCACCTCGGTGGATTTTAAGGATTCTGACTACAAGCGGCACCAACTGACCCGCTCCATCAGTGAGATCAAACCGCCCAACCTCTTCCCCCAGGCACCTCAGGAAATCACACACTGCCACGATGAAGATGACGATGAGGAAGAGGAAGAGGAGGAGGAAGAGGAGGAAGAAGAGTAAGAAGGAAAAAGTAAAGAATTTGTGAAGATAAACCGTGACTCTAGCAGTGATGAGGAGGAGATTCCTATGTTGGGGCCCTTGGGGTGATGGGTTGGGGGTGTGTGATTCCTGCAAAGGCACGTTTTGAAAGCGGCCGGAAACTTTCATCAAATTAACACTAATCAGGAGGAGACCTTTGTTTTCAGTTCTGGAGACGGTTCAACAAGCTGATGGATCTGCCTGGGTGGTGCAGTCAGATGGCGCTGCCCGCCCATGCTGTAACGCTGCTCCCATTCCATATGGGGATGCTGCGTGATTTTTTCCTTTCCCATGATGTGTTTCCATTCGAATGGTGTCCTGTAAACGGTTTTTGCCATTTGTTACATTCATGTGGAGGAGGAAGGGATGTGCTGAGCCCTGCAGGAAACACAACAATCCAACTCCTGCCATTGGGTTGCCACCCTTTGCTCTACTGCATTCAAACCATCCCCACCACGTTAGCCAGGGTGCTGCTGTAGCCTCCAGCTCCACGTCCACCCCTGCTTGGCAAGAGTCTCCTGTGAATGGTTCAGTTCCTCCGTCCATCACAGATAGCAGCAGGATTCCGGCTCTTACGTGCATTTTGCAGCTGTACACATTTCAGTTTGTAGGCGGTGTTGTCCCCTCCCTGTTTCACACTCTCTTTCATCAGCAGCATTCAGTGCCTGATTGCCAGCACGTTTCCCAAACAGCAGAGCTGCACGCCGTGTTCTCAACTCAACTCCTGTCCTTCCAACAGTAAATATTTACCCCACAGCTTCAAGCTACCGCTTTAGCGTTACATTAGTTGGCTTGTCTTCCTCGCTGCCTGTTCCTGACCCTTCTGTCTGTCCCAAAGACAAAACCAGCCACAGTGAGGGACCCTGTTTCCAGGGTGCTGCTGGACAAGCAGCTCTACCCTGCAACAGGAAACAGCGTATGCCACAGTGCTGGGCAGGAGGCTCTCATCCACCCGCAGCTCCATTGCCTTTGGCCCGGTGCAGAGCACGGTGATGCTGCGTCCTGGCTGAGGGAGTGACTCATGGCTGCCATGTGGGGACCGGACCGCTGTGGCTGATGGTGCAGCTCTGCCATTGCTGGTCTTTCTCTCTGTTATGGGTGCAGCTTCCCTGACTCCAGCCTGTGCCGTTCACATGTGAAGGGATTACAGTGGGGGGGGCCTCTTGTAATGAATTCGACTGTTGTTTCAGTACCATAAGCGCATTTAATCTTCTTTTTTTCTTCCCCCCCCCCCATTTTAAAGTACCTTAGGAGAAAATAAAAATAATACACATCACCACCCTCTGAGCAGGAAATGCTGCTACTGAAGTGGCAGTTGTTCAAGTCAATAAACCGTGATGTTTCTAAGAAGTGCCTGGTGCATTATGGCACGGTGCTGGGCTGAGGGCTGGCTGGCACTGGGCAGCAGGTGGTGTGGGGGGCAGCAGGTGGGAAACAGCCCCAGCTGGAGAGGAATGCCAGAGCCAGCCCTGCATCCTTGCACTGAAGGTTGTGCTGGTATTTGCTATGTCTAATCATCATTTCTCCAAGTAGAGCTACTTGGATTCTTCAGGCTTTAGCTCGGCAGCTGGAGAAGGCATGAGGCTGTGAGCAGGGCGATGCGGGGAGCTCTGCACATTCCTTTTGCCTCTGTAGTCCCACAAATAGCCTGCTCCCAGCCCAGGGCTATTTCTGCCAGCGACAGGGAGATGTTGCAAGGCTGGAGCAATGGAAGGTATCAGGCCCCCATTCACTGGTGGGAAAGCAGAGGCAGAGCCTGCCAGGCTCCCTCATCCCACCCTTACAGGGCTCTGAATCACAGAACCCTGGGGTTAGAAAGGATCTTAAAGCCCACCCAGTCCCAGCCCCTGTTGTGAGCTGGGTGCCACCCACCAGTTCAGGCTGACCAGGGCCTCACCCAACCCAGCCTTGGGCACCTCCAGTGATGTAGCACCCACAGCTCTCTGGACACCAGAGCCAGAGCCTCACCTCCCTCTGAGTAATGAATTTCAGACAGCACACAACAGCCAACACCAACATAATTGCCATCAGGAATGTCCAACAACCAACAGAGGCTGTCTGTCAGTCCCTGTGCCATGCCCAGGGGTCTCTCCACCCACAGGGCCAGGTGTGACGGCTCCACCAGCACCCACCTGTGGGACCATCACTCCTCATGAGCTGCTCACAGTGACCCGGTCCTCAATGGTGAAGCCCCACAGCTGCTGCTCCAGAGAACACATTCACAGATGCTGGGTGCATCCTGGGTGCTGCCAGCACTGCCTCAGACAGTCAGACTGCAATGCAGGAGAAAAGCTGGACTCTCACAGTCAGTAAAACCCTTTTCCTGCTTACTTCCAGGCAGTGCTTGACAGTGATGCAGCCAGGCCCTTCCTGCACCAGGACTGGGCAGGCAAACCAATTCCCATTCCCCAGCCTCTTGTGCCCCCCCCTCCCCAGGCTCTCCTGCCCCATTCCTCTCCCCGACGCTCTTACTCTGGCCACTCCAAGACCCTGCACAACACACAGTGGGAATGAGGTAGGGCCAAGCAGATGGAGGTCCTACTTTCCAAAAAACAAATGGGATATATGGCAAGCATGTTGTAAATAAAGGACTTTTATTAGAGAAAGAAAAAGGCCATCAGCCTTGAGGCACCGCTGCCTTTGCCAGCCCCGGGCTGCAGAATGGACGGCCCCCAGACCCCAGTGCAAAGAACACAAGCAGGCCCTACTTGATCTGGCCTCTCCATCGCTTCTGACAACTGCTGAGGAGTTCAAGGCTGCCCAGTGCCAACAGCAATTCCTGATCAGCGGAGATCTGGGGCCGGGGTCACCACCATCAGCCCCACCACCCACCACCACGTGCCAGCAGCCGGCCCTTTGGAACGGGGGGAAGAGCGGAGAAGGGAAAAATGCATAAACTGGAATGTCCAACAGAAAAAAAATCATCATTTATCTAGAAGAACAGAAATAAACAAAACGCTTTCAAACAAAATCACAAAATATACAAATAAATCAGGTACAAAATAAATAGGAAAGATTGGAAATCTACAACAAAATTAGAATAATTATAAAATTCACTTGTATGACAATCAGTATATGAAACGTATACACTTCATCCATGATTTCAGTTGTGCTTACTCAGGTTTATGTACACACATGGAAACACTGTAGTCAGAACACTACAACTCCGGAGACCCGACATAATGTACAATATGATACAATCAGCAAAGACCACGTGCGACGGGCAGTGGGACGTGGGAGGGAGCAGGGAAGCACTGGGCTCAGCCACCCCGAGCTGCAGGGCCGGCGTGGGCACAAAGCTCTGCTGGGAGAACAGCCGGAGGGTTTGTGCCGTGCTCCCGAATGCAGGAGGAAGGTTTGGCTTCAGAGCCCAGCGGCTGCAGAGAAGCAGCTCGCTGTGGTTTCCTGGTGACACAGGAAGGTGCCCTCAAGTACTCGAGTTTTTGGATTCAATCTGTTTGGCATCCAGAAGCAAGCTGCTCTGCTGAATGCGCACGGACAGAGCACAAACACCGGGCAAAGGGATCCAGGCCTGGCTGCAGAGCAGTCACCAGGAGCCCCGCCTCACTCCATCACTGATCTTTGGACAAAACCCGAAGGCATTCTTTCAGTATTGGCACTTCCAACTAAAGGCTGCCCCCAGCCTCACCCCAAGCCCGGGCCCACCTGGGGGAAAGACTAAAGGAGAAGTGCTCAGGAACTGAGCTTTGGAGGACTCCGTTATCGGTCCTACCTGAAGGAAACCAGGGCCTGAAGGAAAACCTCAGGAGAGGTTTTCACAAAATTTTTCAACTGCAGCCAGAAAAGCAGCAGCTCGAGTACCTTATCTGCAAAATCCCCCTATGGTCTGACATGAGGATAACAAGAGGACACTGTTACTTTGGTAGAGTTTGATGCTACTGACCCAAGAAAACTTTTCTCCATCACCTGCGCCCAGGCCTGCTCTAGGGAACACGCCCAGGGCCCATATCAGCTCCTAACACAACAGCAGCTACACAAATCCAACCTGAGAAGCTCAACCGTACCACTGTGAACCTGCAACAGGCAGCTGCGTGCCCTCACCTGGGTACAGCCTTGCAGCCATGAAATTAAAACAGAAGAACAAGAGGACAAGCTCCAGGACAAGAGCAGAACACCAAGAAGGACTGTGTCCCCCTGTGCTGGTGCTGTCTCAGGGATCACAGTGCAGGGCCCTGCAGCTGATGGACCAAGGACACCAGGGAGCGGGGGGGGGTCAGCCTCCCAGCCCACAGTGCGGGGCTCTGCCTGTCAGGTCAGGATGAAGGCCTCTCCCTCTTCAACGCCGTGCAATGATGCCTGGTTTCCACTCCCATTTGTTAAGTTCAGTTCAACAACAACCAACCCTCAGTATCCAAGGGCCAGGCACTTCTTTGGCGCTCTCTCTTTCACTACAGATCGCTCCCCACCCGCCAGCCCCAGCTTCCTACTGGCATTGGATAACGCAGCAACTGGTACATAGGCACTGGTTTTAAAACCACAGACGTGTATTAGACAGCGTATCAAATACGGTACATCTTTCATGTGGGAACGATCTGTACAGTCTGTTTCAGCACAAGGAAGATGCACGTCCCAAGCGGTCCTGGAGGTGGCAGCTGTGCTGTCTTTAGGGCAGGGTACTTACACGGGATGTCCGTCGGGGGGCAGCCCCTCACAAAGCCGCCTCTGGTTTCCTTTCCTCTGAGCTGAACTGAGCCAGAGTCCCACCAGTGCCAACCTCATCTCTGGAACTGGGCCTGCAGCTGGGGAGCAGCACAGGGCGATGTGTCCGTGGGTGTCACGGGCAGCTGAGCTTCCTGCAGGTGCCTGCTCCACCCGCACAAAAAGGCACTTAAAGAAAAGAAGAATAAAAAATGATAATAACCCTGCGGTGAGAAAAGGGGAGTAAGTGTAGGAGAGAGGGGGGACAGACTGTGGAGCACAGCGCTGAAGGAGTGGCCCAGCACAAGGCCCGCAGGTCTCAGCCCCAGGCAGGGTCTGTCAGCCCAGAGCTGCCATGCGTGCGTGTCAGGGCACAGGGAGCACGAGGGGCAGCAGGAACACAGCTGGGGTACAGCTGGAGCAAGGGAGGGAAGCGGGGGGAGGACAGGTGCTGCTGGGGGCATCACTAGGGCACGGCCTGCCCAACCCCTGCGCTCTCAGCCCTGGGAAACCTCGTCCTGAGCCCTGGGGATAACGGACAAGCTGGGGTCTGAACGAGGGGACAAACCAGAGCTCCGTGAGCTGCAGAGGCCGAGGAGTCTCGCTGCGCCCACCTGAGCCCCTCTGCGCTCAGCCACGTGCTTTGTAAGATCTCCACGTCACCAGAGGCAGTCTCGTTTGGAGAACGATTCTCATTGGAAAGCAAGAACATTCCTTCACTCTTTACAAAGATTTGGCAATACACAGAATTTAAAAAAAAAATCATAATTACAACAGATTCAGGTTCATTTCTTTAAAGGAAATTCAACCAACAGGAGTGTAAAAGTTATAATTCACAGTTGTGCATTTAAGATATTAGTGTTTAAAATGTCACTTCAAAGAACTCTTTGTGCAAAATTGTATTGACAGTAGAAACCATGGCGAGATGCCCTCCGGCCCCCAGGCTGCCACCCGCCCCACGACGGACACGGTGAGCTCAGTGGCAGCAGAGCTGACACGGGAAGATGCAGTATCCTTTCTGCAAGCCAAAGCCTTGCCAAGGTCTGAGGTCAAGCCCAACGATTCCCAAAGCCACCACCAGTGCCCCATGGCACCGCACTGACCCATAGCTCCACCACGCGCACACGCGGCACAGGGGCGCAGGTCACGGCATCTGAGCCCAGCTGAACGAAGAAGCTGTGAGCCAGGATAACCAGAGCCAGTGCTGGCACTGCACGGAGCCACAGCATTTCCATCGCGGTGCAAAGAGCCATCTGAGATGAACAGGGCTCCTCTGCTTGTGCTGGCTGCTAGCACAGGGCTGGGAACCCCTTGCCTTTGTGAAACAGTAAGACTGCAAACTCCCTGAGAACAGGGAAGATAGGATTCCTTCCCCTCCGCCGAGAGGACCGTGCCTTGCGCTTTGAGCTAATTTGAAGTAGCAGCTCCCAACCCCTCCGGGTCAGGTACATATTTTCCATATGAAACACATCTACAATCAAATATTTTTCTGGAAATTATTTCACTTTCCATTATCAGATCTGTACACATGATGAAAAAGTCACGCAAAAAAAAATGGCCTGGAAATTTGTGAACAGTGCAGCATGGGCAGAAGCAGGAGGTATTTGCTTTGGGATTACAAGGCTTTGGTTGGAAAATTTGGCTTTTTTTTTTTTTTTCTTTTTTTAATGGAAAGAGACACTCAAACAAATCCATAACCTGCCGTAAGAAGCAGAAGTCATATCCGATGGGCAGCCTCCACTTGAGCCTCCCCTCCTTTGGCAGGTTTTACAAAACAGATACTGCATCTCAAGTTCACTGCCGTGTTGGTCACATCCAACAGACCTTTACATTCAGTAACACTTACAGGAAGAGCAGCACAGCGAGGGGCGCGCTGTGCCAAGGCAAACACCGTCACATCTCAACACTTGGCTTTGGGAGGAAGGTGCAACGCTGGCAACTCTTGGTGCAGCGTGGGGCGCCTCGGAGGGGTGGATTTTAGACAGGACCCAGAACATGCTCATGCAAAGCTGATAAAGGAGTTAAGCCTCGGGGCCCTGCTTTGCGTCCCCAAGCCTGCTCCAGAGCTGCACGCCCGGTTTCCTGCAGGGAGTTACTGCAGCAGTGCTTCCTGCCAACATTTACCAAGGCAGACCGCAGGCACTGAAGGTGAGTGCCCCCCTTACCCAGGCAGGCACAGAGCTCTGGCAGCTGCTTCTGGGGCTTCCCTGGGGGTCAGGGGAGACTATCTGGGTGTAAAGAAAGGAAAGGAGATGCTACATAATCAGGGGCCACGGGTCTTGGAACAGAGAAATCACAATGCCTTGTTTATTGATCTCTGCTTGCATTAATACTGAGGGCAACATTCACATTCTGTTTGAGACGGCACTGCAAGGGGAGAGGGTAAGGAGGGGGAAACATTTTTGTTTTTGTTTTCATTTGAGGACTTAAACTCCATCCGTGGGTCCGGGGAACATGCAATGCACAACTGCCACGGGTGCCCCTCGCTGCACCAAGGCTGCATTCAGGCTTTGGGTTGGAGTACCTGGCACCTGCTGCCCCACAATGGTGGCACCTGGGCGGGAGGCTCTCTGCTCTGCTACCATGGTCATCCCTACAATGGCTGTTAAGAGCGGCCAGAGAGAAGGAAACGCACCGAAATCACTCAATGGAAGGAAAATATGGCTGGGAACAGCCTGGGAATGAACCTCTCTGAATCCCTGAAGTGCAATACACTCACGTCTGGAAAGTTTCCGTCAGTTCCTGGAGAGGACGGGATGGTCCCAACTCCTCAGCAGAGCTGTCCTTGCACTGGCAGAGGTTTTCTGTCACCTGGAGGATGTACTTTGGGCATAACTGTAGCAGCATCTTTTGTGTTAACACTGGAGATTTAAGGGAAGGAAAAGGACTGCTGTACTCTGTTACTAACAAGCACTGCAATCTGCCCGGGCTGAGGTAACGGTGTACAGACCACTACAGCACGTGGGTGCTTTAAAGTGTGTTGGTTTTGGGTGCACACATTACTTCACCAAGCAATTGTCAGGAAAGTCAACAGAAAACCACCCAGAGACTTTGGTATTGAAAATGACACCCGGCCTTCATCTCACGAGACCACAGCTTTGCTAATTAAGTCCTTCCCCCCAGAATCATCTTAAACATACACAAAGTTTTTGGAGGTCACAAAACTGTAGAGTGTAACAACGCGTTTGCCTGTATTACAAATAAACCTTCTGAAATTTGAGAGATCATTAAATATTAAAATAAGCACTCCTTCCCTGAAACTGAACTGGGAGAATGCAACAATACTCATCCCGTGACCCTCCAGGAGGCTAAAACCAGAGGTTCCTTGAAGCTCGCTCACTCATTCTTAGGACACAAATACAAACAAGTACCAGTTACTGACTTCTTCGACATGGCAACAAAAAGGAACAGAGAGAGGTGAAAAGAGGCCTAAGGACACCGGAGCCAATTCACAAAACCACGACAGAGCCTAGTTGAGGTTGAGGAGGGACAGAAACAATTTAAAACTCTGCAAAATACTCTTCAAAAACATGATCTCTCTTGAAAAAATAACCGGAGCAGTTTTTAAACTTCTCCATATGTGTCTGAGGAGGAAAAACCCAACAAGGATCAAAAATACAGATAAAAAATAAACATGATTCTACTTTGCAAGAAGTATTATCATTGTTCTCAAGGGTGGCTCACCATTCCCAAAGTACACTTGGGGCTTTAGTCTCTCTGTCTTGCTCTTTGCTCCTTTCTTCCTGTTTCTTCCTCTTCTTGCTCCCACAACGGACACAAAAGTCTTTGGTCTCAGAACACTGGATGCAGCACAGTGTTGCAAGCACGTACTAACGGTGTCACACTCGGGGAGGAGACAGGAAGGAGCGAGGGCTGGTCCTGCTGAGGAGATGGGATGGGTGGGTCGTGGGGAGTCAGCTCCTAGATGGCTCCTTCACTGTGCATACTGTGGTTGGGCTTGTTGTGAGTCACACAGTTCTGTTCGTTCAGCAGGTTTGCTGTCTCGTCCGGCAAACCGTCATGCAGCTCCGTAAGAGTCAGTTCGATTTTAGTGTTTTCACTGTCCGAGGACTGAGGAGTTTTGTCCATCCGCGATGCCATCAGGGCATTTTGGTACTGCTGTCTCGAGATCTGCTCCGAGCACAGAAGGAAGGAACAGAAAGAGCCGGTCACGCTTGTGCATCTCTCACAGGACGCCCCAGGAAAACGAGGAACCCTCCCTTTCCAGATGGTCACACTTCAACTCCTGTTCACCCCGCATCGACTCCACTTCTACAACCATCCCTGCGCTTTGCAGGAGCACAGCGCCCCAGCTGCATGGCGACGCTTGCACAGGCAGGGTGGAAGCACAGGGCTGTGTGATCACCGCGCTGCCCGCAGGCGCGGATTTACTCCTGGGCAAAGATTTTAAAATCAGACTTCAACTTCCTTCTAACCATGCACATTTTTAGGGCCTAAAGTTCAGTGAAGTCTTTTTCCCAGCTTCATCGAGCTCTGGAGGGGCTTTATGAGTCCTCAAAGAGCCAGAGGGCACGAGCATTAGTGCTCTTGTCTAGGATAGCAAACTAGGCAGGAGCCATCCCATAAGTTCCTGGGGCCAGGCAGCACGATGCACGTGCACCAGCAGCCCCCTGTGCTACAACAGCACTGGATTATCTCAGCAGATGAAAGAAGCTGAGCAAGGCTTTTAGAAAGCCTGAAGCTTTTGCTTCAACACAACAGAGAGACTGGAAATGGAGAGTGTCAGATGGACGCGTCACATCTCCAACAGCAAAATCCGAGCATGTGCAAGCAGGTCACAGCCCTGGCTTACAAGGCATTACTTGAATAAATGCCCATGTGACACAATGAAAACACACATTCTGAGTACTCTGTCCTATGTACAATGCAGGGTGATACAAAAAGAGGTCTGCAAGTCTGACTGCAGAGAAACCAGGCAATGTAGTATTTTTAGACTCAGTATGAACACGGTGAGAGCTGGAAGGACTTCATACAAACCAGCACAAGCTGAGCAGCTGCTTTGGAGTGAGAATCGCTTGCTTAGGAATAATTATTTACTGACCTAAAGTGTGAAGCCCTGAACCACTGACTAGAACATTTACATTTGTCAAGTTCTAAACAAAAGTCAGTACTCTCTTCTTAAAACCTGGCTACCTGTGGATGTGAAACAATTGATTTAGCATTCCAGTATTTCTGTTCTATTGCCTAATTTCAATACTGAATTAACTTTGACAGAAGTTGAGCTCATGAGCAGCCTGAGTTTTATACAAAGAAAACGTGAAAGTGCATTTAATTTCAGAAAAGCAACAAGGTCAGCTTCTGACCATGAGATGTCAGCTTCCCTGGACTCCCCGCTGGGCTGGAATTGCTGCCAGCATTGGCTCTTTCTCATCCCACAGGACTCGCACACGTTTCAGCGTGGGATGCACCATGCTGGGGGACAGAGCCACATCCACACAGCAAGTCACTGGTAGTATGAGACATAATGCTAACACGTGAAGTTAGGAAAAATGTCCAAGACAACTCCAGGCAGAAGGATAAGTTCGAAACCAAGAGAGAGAACCCTGAGCTGAAATAAAAATCAAGAGTGAATGAAAACTGCAACTGACACAAAATGTTTCATCCTTTAGAAAAGGGTGCTGTCAGCTAGTGTAATGAGCCATTTCAGATGGCTCAAGGCCTCACAAGGACATGTGTTTCAGGACTAAAACAGAAGATATTCCCTACGACCTCTCCTATTGAGACCTGATATCCAAAAACTTGTATGACCAATCTACTTACGGGCCTTAATGAGAAGAACAGTGAAGACCAGATACTGAGAACAAGTAATTTAAAGAATCTAAGAACCAGATACTGAGAACAAGTAATTTAAAGCAATTTCAAAATGGCTGTTTTCATAATCCTATTTGCTTAGAGGGCTACAGAGCAATCCACAGGAAACTCCCTCCCCAGGCTCTCCAGCCCACAGGCCCAGCTTTTTTCCTACCTTGACAAACTGAATGTCTGTGAGTGCTTTCACTGAGTAGTCAGGAACGTACACTTGCAGGAAGGACGCATTCAGCTGGTTGTTGCTGCTCCCTAACGTTGGCGTCACCGCGTCGATGCGATCACTTCGGTTTAAAGAGTCTGAGTGATTCAAGCCGCAGGGTCGAGGTGGAGACTTGTTTTCAGCTGGGAAACAGGCAAGAGCAAGAAGCTTCTTACATCAAGGAGAAAATATTCAAAGTCGCCAGTTTCAAAGGGCCACAAGAAATTGCAGCGTGAAACAGAAGATCAACAAATATTTAGTCTACTCGTAACTGACATGCAGCTAAATAAAATGGTCCAGAAAAAGAGCACATTTTGAATCCAGAGCTGGTGGCAGACATCACTGAGTACGACTCAAAGAAACCTGGTTCTGTCTGTGCTACAACAGACGTGCCCTGCGCACACCTGCTCACAATGCTTCCGCTGATGAGCGGTGACCTTCTGAGAAAGGCAACTTCCCTCAGCTTCCTTACAGGAGCTCTCTGTAGTCCAACCATGCTTAATAGATTTTTTTTTCTTAACCATGTATGGTTGTAACTCTGTATCAGACTATTCATAGACACTGCAGGCTTTCACTTGAAAACCTCCCAGCTACCCCTTAGGAGTACGACTGGCCACAGGCATTTTGCATCCTCAGCTTCTACCTATACAGGGACCCAGATGTCAGGGGACATGCAGAAATAAAAAGAGATCTCAAGCCCTTCTGCAGATAGGCTTCTCCTCGTGTGCAATGACAGTGCACAGCAGTAGAACTCTTTGGGACTGGTGAACTGGGCAGCTAAATTTTAGCCCTTCGGCCCAAGCACTAATTGACACCATCTGTACCACTCCCCCTGTGGTCCCCATTCTCAGCTGAAAGATTACTTTCCAATCACCTGAAGATACAAAGCCTCTTCAGCATTTCAGCAGCAGTATCGTAAGTTTTTCACTTTCACCAATTTTTTGACCTACAGAATGGTATTAAAAAAATGAAAAGCTAACTGAAATTCAACCCTGCCTCTGCCACTGTATCACTGTAAACATCTCTCCTTGACAAACAGATGCAGCTTGCTCTACATCTCTACATCTAGCCTTTCCTAAACTGAGCCCTTCAGACACTTCCAGATGCATGGCAGAATCATCCTGCGTTGTCTTTTGTAGTTGTTGTTTTATCATTATTTTTCACTTGAAAACCTCTGATGTCTTCTTTCCTTCAATTTAAGAAAAGGCAATGGAAAAATACAGGTTGTGATGACTCGGCAAATTGTCTGCAGTCCCTATGGTAACAACAAGGAGAGGCTCAGAGGGAAGCACTCAGAGCCCCGCATGGTTTCCCTCCATACCCACCCACCATCTCAAAAGCCACAGCGGGCTGTGCCCAGGTGTCCTGTGGTGTGTTACTGACAGAAAGGAGGAAGGACAGGCAGTTACGTGACAGAGCACATTCAGGAAAAGAAAAGGACAAAAAGACAGAACAAAGCACGACTACAGAAATTCTGAGAGTAAGGACATTGCTCTTGGAATCATGTACAAGATGGGAAGGGAAAAGTTACTAAAGAAGGGGGGCTACAAGAAGAGCAGATGGCAGAAAGCACAGCACACAGGTCTGTGGTTGCTGAGCAGTGCCCAGCACATACCTGCACAGATCTTTCCCACCCAGGTTCTCCTCACCTCTAAGTACTGAAGATGAAGGGCACAAACCACGAGACAAACTTCCATACAAGCACTTTGTGAATCTCACAGCGTGCGGTTCAACGAGAGGAAGCTTTTTAGAAGGAACCACCAAAAGGTGTTGGGTTCAACAGAACCGGAACTGCAGTCACAGTGACCAGACTCACCACATTGGTTCCTTTCAAAAGAGGTTCTTTCCATTTGTATTTTCCATCATCAATTTGATTTTTTAATTTATTTCTGTTGTTGTTGTTGGAGGAAAAAAAGCTAGGAAAATATGCTTGGCATTTTTATTGGAAACAACTTGTATGTGCAAGGTGTATGCTTACTTATAGAACAGAAACAGAACGAAAAGAAAAAAGAAAAAAAAAAGAAGGAAGACCTGGCAAAATTAAAGAACTAAGCTACAAAAAAAGAAAAAGATAATCAAAGCCACTGAGCTTAAGAGAAAGCCACCAGGTACTTTAATTAAAGAAAGATTATATTTCTCCCTGCTTCTTTCAAGTTTAGCAGCAGGAAACTTCAAAAGAGCAGGGAAAAATCCCCTGCAGGGCAACCACCCATAGTTTATTTGGAGTGTGCGTGAGCTTAATTTAGGGTCTGACAGTGAGATACATTTTCAGAGCTGAAAAAAGAAGAGAAAATACAGGAAGCAGAGAGTGGAAATTTATGAAATGTCTCACATGTACTGATGGTTAGATTTCACTTAAATATCCCTACCATATCACGACATTCAATAGCATTAAATATATCGATCCTTTTAGGTCCAGGGAAACATCACTGCATCAGCCCATGTTTTAGGATTCCGCCATCCCTACATACTTTCCTGATGAGTTTCCATCTTTCTCAACTACTCTGTGCATGCGGTGTCTGCAAAGCTCAGTTCCCAAGTTTTCAACCACATCTCAGAGCTCGTTTTGACCCAATTTGTTCTCTCCTCGGTCTCTGCTCTCCAAAGGGATTTCTGTGTCAGTCAACTTGGTCATCCATCAAGGAAAGGTCTTGAGCAAAACCAAAAACCCCGCAGGAGCTCCCACAGCCTTCTTGCACATTCCATTGCAAATCCACCCACTCGGTACATTATCACAGCATTAATCTCATTGAAAGAAAATTCAAAGTTTTTGAGCATTGGAAATGGCCAAGGAGTATTCAAACCATAGAATTTACCCAGAAGAGGATATAAGGATTCTTTCGTACAAGTTCTCCTTTTAAGGCAGTCCAGCAGCACACATTCCCCTCTGCATTTTCTTCAGGAAATTTTTCAGTTCTTAAACCTCAGTTTTGGGGGAGAAGATCGTTTAAAAGATCTCCCACCAGTTCACATAAGAGACATCAGAACACATTAACAAAAACATTTTCTTAAACACGTTTTTAGTTCTTCCCATTTGGACGACTCCGTCACGTCGCTGCCAGTTATCACACACAGAAGTTCAGATACCTACCTGTGAGGCATAATTCTGTGCTGGACTTCTCCCTAACGAGCAAAGGGGTCAGATAAATACAGACTGCAGCTGACTTGTTATGGCATCAGGGCAGTCACAAGAATGGTGAAAATAGAAGCATGCGGATTTACCTGGAGAACCTGCTGCTAACAACTCTGTTCTGCTGACAACAAAGGTACGAGACAGGGACAAGGGAACTAGAAGAGGGAGAGAAAAAGGATGAGATCACGACCAGAAGGGTGGCAGCTATCCACACTCGACAGGGGAGGGAGCCAGTTCACACACTGAAGAACTAAAACCAGAAGTGCAAATCAACTGTGGAAAGTAAAGGGTTAAAAACCAAACCAAAACAAATCAAAAAAGACAATTTAACAATTTTAGGAATGAACCAAAGAACAAGACTGTGGAATTACAGTGAGACAATTTTCACTTGCTAATTTGAATGGTCATAGAATGATCCATCAGGGTACACTCATTTTTAAAATAGTTCAAAAGGAGCAGTGGTGCCCACTCCAGCCTGGAAGGCAAAGAGGTAAAAGAAGCCAGAAAGCTTTCATGGGTGCAGTTCCTTATGAGAATAAAACAAAAATAGAAATGAAACCAAAAGACACTTTGCAGTTCAAGTTTTCAGTAAAATGTCAAGCACGGTTGTGATTCTCCAAGCTCACCCCTACCAGAATGGGTTCGGTGCTGATAATTATCAGTCTCCAGCTGTCAGTAATGAAAGTGTCACTGTTTTGTTGTTGGGTTTTTGAAAACATCCTTTAAACTCCTGTTATTGGCTGCGTTTCCAGATGGAGAGCAGGTATGTAACATCTCACCAGGAGACAGGGAAGGACAGAAGCTTTCCCTTGTTTGTAAAGGCTTTCACATATACTCAAAGCAACAAGAATTACTTTTATTTTTACAAGCTCAACCTAACAGAAATCTCACGATGCTGCAACTTCTCTAAAACCTGGGGAAAAAAAACAGCAAAAAGGAGGGTTTGCTACTGGCACAACCAGCTGAAGGTAAAAGAATTCAAGGTTGGTCAAGTTTAATCTAAAATAGTGCGTGTGCTTAAGTTTGACGCAACAAATCCGAGAGGGATTCCAGGGCAGAGGCAGGACAGGGGAGATCATTTGATCTCACAGGACTTGGGGCAACTGGTGTGGTTGTGGAGTTAGCAACACGGGAAAAACAGAAACATGAGAACATTCAAACTGAACAATGCTGGCAAAACAGAGATGCCACAAATCACTTCCAAGTGTAGCTCTGATGGGACAGAAGTGATCATGCCTGATCCAGCTCTGTCTGGCCCAAGTGCAAAAGCTAAGCTTCAACACTGAAGGAACAGCAAGGGTATGACACATGTGTACACATTACATATGATTCATCACGAACACTGCTGTTACTGCACAGATAAAATCCTCTCTGTGTCTGCATGCTTCCAAATTTGTCAAGCCCCAAAAGGTATAAGCAAGATTGATTAAAGTGCATATATTTAAGGAAGAATTACTCCTTCCTGAGCTCCTAACAAAGAGCCAGTGCAAGACTCATACAATGGCAACGCAGAGCTCAGACTCCATAGGAACTGCTGATGGCTGTGCCGTTTAGTGTGGCTATAGCCATAAGTTACAAAACAAATTTCATTCCAAAGCCATTCACTAGTGTACATCTACATACATACACATACATGTAGAGTTTCCATTAACTTAGTACTAAAACGAGCTGCCTCCCAAGTGAACAACAACCTGTGGTGCCTCTATGCAGGAGGAGGTGATATCTGCATGAGAAACCCCCCCTGAAGGGATCAACTGAGTGCATGGCCACTGCCAGCACTAACACTCAGCTCTTCTACCAGGGCTGCAGATGCCAACCGACACCAAGACCTTTGTGATCTAAAAGGTGATGCTGCTGGCACTGAAATGCACACGCAGGCACCACAACGAGTGTGGTGGACAACAGGGCATCACCCACTGGGGCAGGGGAGCACACTCCTGGTTGATTGTAAGGCAAATCCCCGCCTTGTGTCTGTGAGATGCTGGGCTGTGCAGCTAGTATTTATGTGCTGCTCACATCTCAGCCTCTTCCTTTGCTGAACTCTCAGCTATATCTCTGCACAAGCTGACAGGCGCAACCTTTATATTCCTTGCTCCACTGCCCTCATTTCCCTCAGGATGGCTTTAGAAACAACGATTGGTAAAGCAAACCATACACAAACTAGCAGGTTGTTCGTACTCTACACCACTAGATGTCCCTCTGCTACTAATTATTTATTCTTGCTAATTCAACGTTGTTCTACAATGAGAAATGAACCACAAAGCTCTCCTCCAGTGCCCACTACCTCCCTTGCTAAAGCCAACACATGCATGCTGCAGGAGCCCGCTGCTCGCTTGGCTGTCAGAGCCAGCACTGCCACCAGGTTGCTGTGCCAGCCATGGGGTGGTTCTGCTTGCAGGGTGGTATTGCTTCCATCAGTCCACACCACAGCGTGGGGGGATGCCCTGCATGCTCCCCTCCCACACACACTCCAGCAGACAGGCTTGTGCACAAGTGCATTCCAGAAGCAGAAGGTAAGAGGACATACCTGGTGATGCTGTGAGGGCCATCACCCCATAGTAGGAAAAAGCACCAGCTTCAAACTTCATCCCCTCCTTCCCAGCCTCCACTTCCACCTTCCCCTGTTAAGCAAAAGGAGAGAGAGCTGCAATTAAAAGGGACCATAAGTCCTGAGGCACAAGACCAGTCTTCAGCCCTAGCAGCTAGTCTTTCCTGATTGTTGCTAAGTAGTGTCAAGGTTCCTGCAGTTTGTAACGATGCCTGAAAAGAGATAAACCCTGGGAGAAAAAACATACTTGTCCTGAGCAATTCTGGTCCTATGGTCCCTGTGGCAGCTAAGTCCCTGCAGGGGGAGCAGGGTGGCAGAGATGGTACTACTGACACGATCCGAGGGCTAACAGATGCCTGCCCTCACCCAATATCACAAGAGGCTTGAAGGCATCCAGTCATTTGGGCTCTTGAGAAACCTACACATTTGAGGGCATGGCTCACATTCACATCAAGTCCCTTCTAACATGAATATGGGAAATGGAGATGGAAGACAATGTCTCAGTTGGAATTTGTTTTCACCGATGGGATTCCCACAGAATCAAGGCCCTTATTCCTGAAGCAGCAGTCTCGAGGCTATTTTGATTTTGTTGGTTTCTGACAGTTATACATATTCCAGCACCCTTAAATTAAGGCTCTGCAAAAGAGCAGGATATTGTTTAGAAGAACCCTCAGTGCTTCCCAGGCTCAACCACCCTACCACATAATGTACCCATTTCTGATGCGGTCTGAACCCAACATTTAACAACAGATACTGATATCATACAAACAACTTTAGAAGAGAAAATACCATATCAAATGTAGCAGTAAACATCCCAGTTATTTTGATATACAAATAGCAAGAAATAATTTGCTTCTTAGTGGGATCTGGTTTTCCCCTCCATCCTTACTGGTACTGTACTGGGAATTACATTACCTAACTGCAGAAAGAAGCAAATCTCAGGCAGCTTTGAAGGTGAGCTACATGAAGACTGAGATTTTAGACAAACAACATAATTACCTGCAATGCAATGGAAAGGGCAGGTAGACTGCCCATGCTACATGTACCAAGTGAACTGACCATCAGATGGACACAGATTAAAACAAGTCCAAAAGGTAGCTTTTATTTCTATGTTTTTACTGTACAAAAACAACTTATATTAATTAAACACGTGTTTAATTTTACAGCACTGCATCTGGACAGAAAAACATGGGAAAAAAGTCAGGCTGAGCATGACTTCATATCAAATCAGTTTTTCGAACTGTTCCAGATCAGAAAAAAAACTGCATCTATCTCACAGGAAGAGAGTACTTAGTTCACAAACCCACTTTCTTGCCATCAAAATCAATCACTTCATGTAGCCCCTTTTAAAATCAATTTCAGTCCACAACACCAGTAATTAGCTACTTTTGGTCACACAAACAAAGGCTGGTTATAAAAAGGGCTCTCACTCTATTCACCACTGGTAGTTACCCACCAACCAAGGCCAGGTCTTGAAAACACGTATGCAAGTAGGCTTTGATCTTCACATACAGTCAGCCTGGAGTTAGCGCCCAAAGAACAACAAGGTAGTAGCTAGCAGCAAGAGCAGAGCTTCAGTTCCAGCTCTGCTGTCAGCACACACAGCACTTCCCAGCGGTGGCCACAGGAAGGCTGCACATGCTTGGTGTTGCCACAGCAGCTGGTGAGCCAGTAAGGATCCCCCATGTGTGCTATGAGATGTGCTCTGCTGCTTAACTGTACACATCTCTGGTTTCTGGGTTTGCACTGCTTAGTGCTCCAACAGGAATTCTGAAAGAACACAACGACAAAGGCATACAGAAAACCTTCCCAGTAGCTAAGAGAAAAACTGTTGCAAAAAGGTGACTTTCCAACTGAAACAGAAACTCTACAGAGATTAAACTAGCAAATTTAATACAAAAAATATGCATTTGCTTGAGTTCTGGCATGATTTACTGTGAAGGTACCCTTGATCTCTTCAGATCTCCTCGATCTCTCAAGACCAGATCATTAAAATAACAAAAGCACAGTACTGACCCACTGCTCCTTGCAGAACCAACACTTTCTATTTTTATAGTACCTACCTACCGCAAGGCTCCCTTTCCAAAAGCATTACAGACTTAGCACATTGTTTTTACTGAATACATATTGATTGAAGAATGGCTCAGAAAGAACTACTTGTTCTTTTGTATTGCACATGTCTTCCAGCTACAGTTTTGCAGCATTACCTCATGCAGGAGCATTATCTTGCTTCTGGAATATTTCAGATTGCAGTAATTCAGCACATAAGAAAGAGCAGTTAAAAAAAACCACAAATTCTTTTTTAAGAGAGAGATGCGTTGAATCAACACCATCATATTTCAGAGCTTTCTTTGTTGTTGATCATGTTTAACATCCCCACTCTTTCACTGTTGTTAGAAGTAATGGAAAGGAAGACTTCAAGCCCTTTGCCACAATTTCAACTGCAGTGCTCGTCTGTATAACCAAAACTCATTTCAGTTATCTTCAAAGATAGCGTAAGCACCTTTCCAGCAAAATGCCTCTTAAAGGACTGTTACTGCTCGAACAGTGCTAGATGGGAGTTAAGTTTCTGTATCAAGCTTCATCCTGCTACTCAACATTCCTGGCAAGTAATGGACCCTAGGAGACGATGAGCACTGGAAGTGACCCTACAGTGAACAAACAGAAATCAGTCCTCCCCCCTCTGCGACATAAAACCCACCCAAAGGCAATGATCTCAGTGCAGAGTGAGAGCTCAGGTGGTGAGGTGCCCAAGGTACCACAGAGCTATGGGAGGAGGCTGTGGGAGTTCAGCAGATGGCACAGTGGCCCCAAAGAAACCTGCATTTATCACAAAACCAAAGGTTTTGGACTTCACAATCGCACAGACAAAATGCCTTCTTCCCAAAATGTCAAAGTCCCCATTCCTCCTTTTGCAAATGGAAAAACCCACTGGTGGAAGCATCCTGGCCAAGCTCCTACTGACATGAGGCTTTTCACACCCCTATTCTACAAGCAATGCCTACTGCACACCAGGGTTCTTTTGCAATGTAACATCCAAAGCACAAATGACTTTCAGCAGATATCACAGCAGGTTTAACTGGGGCTAAAAGCAACTGAATGAGCTCTTCAAGTGTGGCAAGATCACAAAGGAGACAGAAGCAGTTCCCATGAGCAAAGCTCCAGTCCCATGCTTGAAAGACGACAAGCTTCAACAAGTGAAAGAGACACCAAGAGTGATATGTCAGGAGATACACAATATTGCACACATCAAGAACATAATAACATTACTGACCTGTAAAATGAGAACAAAGTAGTCGACAGGCTTGTTTCGCTGGTAGAGGTAGTGTTCTGGGGCTTTCTTGTTCTTCTCGTCGTATTTCAGCTCCTGGATGACATTGGGATGTTTTAGCAGCCTGAGAAGGATCTTCTCCGACATCTGGGATGGACCAAAGGCTTCTACTTCTATAACACAAGATACAACTAGGCATTACACTTTATACGCCTGGCAAGAAGTCAGCAGTACTCATTAATAAGCATTTGCCTATAAACGACACACAGATGCAGAGAGATCCATTATGGAATTGCACGCTTCCTGTCTTTTGAGACTGTTAAATTTGTAAGGGGAAAAGAACAAGAACACGCCAACTTTCATCAGTGAAGTATTAAACAAACAAACAAACAAACAAACAAAAAACCACCAAAAGCCATGTCTTCATCTGAAAGGGAAAAGACACAGGAAGGCAGTCTTGCCCCTGTGAGAGTGTAGTCACAGTTGAATGGGATCACTGGAGAGTTGTAAATGGAAGAGCTTTACAGTTGGGGCACACAGAACCTTTGGATGTAATTTTTCCTTCCTCTCAAGGTATTGAAGTTACTGTATTTATTGCACTTAAAAAAAAAAAAAAAGTTTTAAAAAAATCACTGCTTGGGGCATTGAAAGTTAGTCTAGATAGATGCTCTACATAATTCAAAGACACAATCTGAGCTGCCATGGTTCACACGGGAAGAGTTACTCAAAGTGATGCACAGTGCAAGTCAGTTCAAACCGTGTGGGATTAATACCTGACACAACAGAACACGTTCCCTACCCGCTTGCTCTTCAATCATCAGTATTGCCAGCAAGAGCTGCAAGAAGTGAAAAAGCTCATCCTTGTGTGAGAGTTAGGCCAGGGACGTCGAGATTTACACATGCAAACTGATAAGCATTCCTTATGCCTAATTTCAGAATAGGACCGTTAATGACCCAGCACCTCTCACCTTCTAGAGATACTATTCTCAGATTAGAGCAGATAAACCAAAACTGTAGCTTTTCATCTCATTTAGCAGTGTCACTTCGAAGCACTGCCAGTTTGAAGCCACACAATGCTCTGATCCACAAAACAAGCAGAGATGCAGCACTATAAGACTATGTCTGTTGAGCAGGTGCTTAGGGAACTCCACCGAGTCTTGTACAACTACGTGAACAATGCTTTGCTTGCTGTTAAATCCACATCTTCCTGTAGAAATGTTTCCTCTCACCAAGGAGATGCTCACATGCACATGAGCTGCAGAAATCCAAGCCTTCTAAGGAAATACGGCCCCTCAGCTGAGATGCGATAACCGATCACACACCTTTAACTCGCAGAGGCAAAACAAAGCACGAAGGCGGACTGAGAGCATCTAGCACGCAGTTACTGTATCTTAGAGGAGGGGAAGTATTAATTTCCAGCTTGAGCTGGCCAACCGGAGACAGAACTTTATCACATTCAATCCACAAATGTATGTTGAATATAGAAGTGAAAGATGCACGTCTGAATGGCCTGCATATGAGAAGTCTTTATATGCCAAAGAGAGACAACATGAGCAATAGGAAGGTCTGCTTTCCACAAGCTCTCCTGTTAACAGGTCTCATCCCTGAGGTGAAGGGACCAACTTTATGATGGAAGGCAATGTCAGCATTCAAGCCCCTGGCCTCTCTGCCAGAAGGCCCATACAAGGGATAAAGCATCAAGGTGATCTGAGACGGAGACAACTGTCCTCTGAAACCTGAAGCCATCAATGGAGGTCACACAAGCCAGCAAGAAATCCGTTTTCAAATGTACAGTTCAACCGCCTGCACAGCCTGCATTAAGTGTGTTGAGAGTTTTTCACTTCAAGTCACAAGTCTCATGGAACAGGCTCATGCCGTCCTGCTAAAAGCCCAGCATCTTTTTCTGGATGAAGTGCCAGAGTGCAATTACAGTCAGCTGGCCAGCGGTATTGAGTCCTCTGCGGTTTGCTCCCTGAGCTCTTCCTAATGGGGTGCGCCTGCTAGTCGTTAATCTGACGGACTCTACACATGCAGTGCGGCACTTGGCATTCATCCTTACCTTTCAGACCAATTTAAAGTTACTGGTCCACCCCTGGTAAATGTCTCAGAGGGTTCATGCCGACACTGAACATAGGAGAGGAGAGAATTTAAAAAGAAAAACACAACAGTGGCATTATTTGTCACCCCACAATCCAGCCTCCCTTCCCGTCTGCACTGTCCCACCCACCTCACCGGCCTTTGCTGACCAACTGCCTCCGAGGCTCTGGCACGATTGTGAAAAAAGATAATCCACACTTGCCTGTTGCCAGGAAGCGGTGCATTGCCAGGAGGAGCTGCGGTGATATTTTAACCTTCATCTCGCTGTCTGTCTGCTTGAAGGCAGAGAAGTCCTGCTTCCTGTCTCGATGAGCTACTTTCTTTTTCGTCTTGTTATCAGCTGGGGAAGGGAGGGTGGGAAAAGAAAGGAAGGAAGCGATTTCTGTTAGAATGGGGTCCAACATGAACTGTGCTGGATGGAGCCAGCAGGGACAGCCATCCAGAGCAACTGTGCAGACAGACCCCTCTGTGGTACACATGCAAAGCCCTGCTTGCTGATACACCTTGAAAACTAGAAATAATCATGACCTGTGCTGCAGCTCAGATCCTGAAACCCACAGACTTTGTTATCTCAGTGGAAGAAAAGTATCTGCTTGCAAGCATCTAATTGCAGAGCAGTTCTGCATATAGCGCATACAGGGTGTTCATTTCTAGGCAGGCAGGAGAGGTCCAGCTCAGTGTTAACAACAGCAGACATTGTGTTGAGGGGGATGGTTGGATGTTGTGTTGACAGATATGGTTTAGTGAGTACTATTGGTGGTTGGTGGATGGTAGGACTGGATGATCTTGTAGGTCTTTTCCAACCTTAGTGATTCTGTGATTCCGTGAACAGGAAAGTGTTCAGCAAGAATATGTGACAGCTATCTTCTACTCATATGCAGTAGCTTCCTGTAAGGATGCTGCTCCTACAGCCTACAGTGCTACGTTACAGAATGTTAGCAAGTCCAGAATCCTAGGGGCCAACAACGTAAAAGCACCACTGTCTAGGGGTTGTAACAGCCTGGGTATGCCTAAAGATCAGATTCCAGCTGCAGAAAGCTCTGTTCTCCTGCCATAGCACACTGATGTACACACTACCAGTATCTGCAGATCTAGCCAGGCAAATCACCATTGTGCAAAGTATGTTGTTACAGTTTCACTGGATGTCACTGGAAGTATTTACTAGGGCAAACAATTTTTTGCCCTGTAGCTCTGTGGTTTACACGGAAAAGTGGTACAGAGTTTACAAGCACCTATATTTAACATACCTGTTTTGACAGCTCTTTGAAAATAGGAATATTAAGGTAAGATGGTGGTCTTCCCCTCTGAGCAACCTGTCTTGCTCTGAGCAACCTGATTGAGCTGTAGATGCCCCTGTTCACTGCAGGGGAGTTGGACAAGATTATCTTTAAATGTTCCTTCCGACTCAAATGACTCTATAATCCTATGAAGAGCTAATCATTTGTAGAAGAGTCCTCGATTTTACCTGGGGCCAACCCTCTCTGATCTGTATGAATGCAAAACAGCAACATTCCAGTCACACTGAGGGGATGATGAAACTCATCTCCTGTTAGAAAGAGCTAAATAAGACATGACACCAGTCAAACATGGGTCACAGTGGTGAACTCCATGCCTCTCAGTAGATGCTGCACTCTGCACTGAGACCTCTTAGCCAGGGCCACAGGAGTGCAGCACACATTCCTGTGGTGCATCAAATGCTCCAATCTTCCAATACTAAGAGGCAAACACACAGCTGTTCACTGTGACACTGGCTGAGACATTTTCAGAGCCTACCTGTAACACAACAGAAACCTCTTAACTCCACCCCATCACATTCCCAGTACAGCTGCACATTCAGAAGCACTCAATCCAAGCAGATGCTGATAGATCAAAGATATTTCACACTTTCTCTTGCTCCCACCGTTTCTGCAAACTTAAAGGTGCAGCAGAATGGAGCAATATGAAGTAATACCATGCATCCACTGGAAGCATGAAATTCAGCTGCAGAGCTTCAGCAGTGACAGCACCTTTCAACAAGAACCACAAAGCTGCAATTTGTTCTACCCTAACCCTGCCATTTTCATGGCAGCAGAAGAAAGGCACAGCTCCAGAACCCAAAGTCATTGCATCAAATTTCTAATTTCCATCAAAGCACAAAAAAGCATGTTTAAAATTTCAGAACAAAGGCATAATAACTGCCAGAATTCATCATAAGGTCTACTTTTAAGTAAACACACAGGACAGAGCAAATCAGTTCAAAGGCTTCAAGTTCTGAGAAGCTGGCTTGGTCTAATAATGAACAGTAGCAGAGTGCATGAATACTACAGGGGTTATTGGCACTGACACAGCAAAAATCAAGCTGTCTTAATATAACAGGGGCAATAAGCCTCTTTCAGAAAGCCAAAAGCATGTTTCCAATGCTACACCAATTAGAATTTGTTACAGCCTACCAACACACTAAAATTGTTTGCCTCAGTATTCACTGGCAGTTTAGCTGCCCATATCTCTCACATCCCCAGACATCCAGGAGAGTGAAATCCCTCCCAGTGTATGAGCAGAATAGATCCCAGACCACCTCATGAGGCTGAATGCATACAAGCCAATGGGACTGGACTACAGGTATCCCAAGGCCCTGAAGGAACTACTTGATGTGGTTGCCAAACCACTCTCCATCATATCTGAAAAGTTGTACCTGTCAGACAAAGTCCCTTGTGAATGGAAAATGGGTAACATCACACCGACTTTTAAGAAAGGGAGAAAGGAACACCCTGAGAGGAGTCCTGCAGAGAAGGACTTGGGGGTGCTGGTGGATGAAAAGCTGGACGAGAGCCAGCAGTGCGCACTTGCAACCCAGAAGGCCAACTGTATTGTGGGCTGCATCAACAGAGGGGTAGGCAGCACGGAGAGAGAGAGGACTGTCCTCCTCTACTCTGTCCTTGTGAGACCCTAGCTGGGGTTCTGTGTCCAATACAGGACACAGTACAGAAAGGAGGCAGAGCTATTGGAATGGGTCCAGAGGAGGGCCATGAAGATGACCACAGAGCTGAAGCACCTCTCCAAAAAAGGTGAGGGTGCTGGGCTTGTGTAGTGGGAGGGGAACTGACTTTTTACACGGTCTGATAGTGATAAGACAAGGGGAAATGGCTTTAAACTAGAAGAGAGGGAAATTAGGTTAGATGATAGGAAGAAATTCTTTACTCGGTGTGGTGAGGTACTTGAACAGTTTGTCCAGAGACGCTGTGGATGCCCCATCCCTGGAGGTGTTCAAGGACAGGTTGGATGGGGCTCTGGGCAACCTGATTTAGTGCCTGATTTAGTAGCTGGCAACCTTGCCCACAGCAGAGAGGTTGGAACGAGATAATCTTTAAGGTCTCCTGCAACATAAGCCATTCAATGATTCTATGATAACGAAACCAGAAGGTGATCTCAATGGTAAATGGTAGGAGCTACCCCTGAAATTTTCCTGCACCCACCAGGAAGCCTGAGAGGTTAAGTTTCCCTCCCAGTCTGGAATCAGGAATTTTCTATACAAAACCTTCCCAGGAAGGATGGTTTCAAATGAATTCACATTTACCACCTCTATCTGGTTAATCTAGGAAGTCTTCATACAGTAAAATTAAATATCGATTTCCCTGTCCTCTAACATGCTGTTAATGGTCTAAAACTTTTTCCCTTAAAAAACAACACAACATCTATACAGTTTCTATCTATACAGTTTCTTTTAACAAACAAGAGAAAAAAAAAAAAAGCAGTATTTTGGATTATTAAATACAATTTGAATTCACCTTGTAAGAGCATTATGTTGTTACTGATTAGCCCAGCAATTCATTTGTGAAGGTATGAAAAAGATCAGTACTAACTGCAGTTCTGTGATTTCCGTAGTAACTGGACTGTTCAATACAATGTAAAACACAGCTGTGATTTACAGAAATCTTTGTGCACGTAAATACTGGTAAAATACTGACCAGCTATGGAAAGTAGTTCAGGCAACAGAAATCTATTAGGAAAAGTAGAAGTCTGTCTACCCCACAGTGCAAAGTGCTGTTTTGGCTTTTGGGCCGGAGGGAAGATAGGAAAATGCTTGCATCGGCCTAAAAAAGATGCGATAGAAACATCCAGATCCTTCTCATGAGAAAAGGAAAAAAAAGCAAAGGGCAGCTGAAGAGCATTAACTATATATAAAATGACCATTTCTATTACAATAGAGTCTAGAGACATCCTTGTGCTACCCATGAATACGTAGTAAAAAATAGCATCTGCCAGCAAGCGATCAAAGTACAGATAAGACAGATGAAGAATGACAGAGAGGAAGTCCAATATGCACAGGCTAGATTGTGCAGATGGAAACAGACACTGTGGCAACTGGCCAAAAACCAGAGAAACTCTAAACTGGGGAAGAAGTCCAGATCCAGATCTCTCAAGTCTCGGGTAATGCTCAACCTGTACCATCATCTGCCATAATGTACACCAACACTAAGGAAGGAAGGAGCTGTACTGAGTGATTACAAGAGGAGTTATTTAGGACTTGCTGATTTGCAGCCCTGAAGCAGCCTTTCCATTGTCAGGCTCTCTCTGAGTGAGTGACTGAGATGGACTCCAAAGAGACTCCATTCCTCTTCCCTGAGGCACAGATATCCACCTCCTGCCTTCTTTATAAACTATGGTGGGGATGCAGACTACAGGCCTTTGAGGGGGAGAGAGGTTAGGAGTAAACGTGGGAGGTCACAAGCACTGGAATAAAGAGGTTTAAACTAGGCAACCATGGTGGAGAACAGCTAACAGGAGAGACCAGGATGCTGCACATCTAGATCTTCTAGATGGAAGAGTCAAATAAATAAAGCTGTCCTGTTTCTGAATTCATACAGCTTAAAGGGGTGAAGTGCCCTTGCTGTGAAAATAAAAGTCATTTTGACCATCTGAGGGATCTGCAGATCATCTGACCATCAGCAAGTTAGCTGTAAGACACAGCTGCCGCTGGATGGTGTCTTCTCTCTTGTCTATTAAAAAAAAAAAAAAAAGTGCAAATATTTCTACTCACTGTATAGATCTGTTTCATCCAGAATCTCTGACTTGATGATCTCTTCAATCACATCTTCTAAAGTGACAATTCCCAGGACTTCATAAAAAGGATCCCCTTCTCCTTCATTGTTTACTCTTTGTACTATAGCCAGGTGAGACTTGCCTGCAAGGAGACAGATCAGTAGTTTAGACATTTCAAAATTCCAGAAAGATCAGAAATTGCAGCAAAATTACAGACAGGCAGGTGTAAATAGAGAGATAGAAAAGTTGGCGTCACACCTCACTAATAAGATCCAAAATTTTGAGACGCACCAAATCATAATCTGGTGTCCCTGTGAGAAATACAGTCCTGGACCACATAGATCCACCCAGCACACAAAAGAACAGTAAAAATATCAGAAGTCTCTTCTAATTTCTTTTCCCAGAGACACTGTCACCCTATATTATTCTGTGGATGGATGTTTCTCTTCTCATGTCCTGCACTGACTGAGGAAGGGCACAGAATCATAGAATGGTTTGGGTTGGACTGGATCTTTAAGATGTAGTTTCCAACCCCCTGATGTAGGCAGGGACACCCCTCATAGGACCAGGTTGCTCCAAGTCCCCATGCAGCCCGGCCCTGAACACCTCCCAAGGTGTGGCATTCAGAACCTCTCTGGGCAACCTGTTTCAGCGCCTACCCATCCTCACAGTAAAGAATTTCTTCCTGATGCCTAGTCTATATCTACCCTCTTCCAGTTCAAAGCCCTTTCCCCTCATCCTGTCCAGGTCAGGCTGGAGCCCTCTTTTGTAGGGAGCTCCTACAATAGCTCCACAATGGCCAAACCACAGAAGGACACAGATGGGGCAGAGCTGGGGAGAGGAGCTCAGCTGAATCCACAAGTTCTCTTCCACCTCCCTTCCCCCAAAACAATTTATTTAGACGTGCTCCATGCAGAAGGGGGCTTATTTATGAATTAATTAATCAAAATATTCAAAGCAACAGTGTCTGATTAACAAAGAGAAACGTTAGGATGAGATATGCTAGTGCCTCTAAATATTCCTAAGCTGCGCATCATTCACAGTGTATTTGATAAATCCTAAGGACCTTTCTGCCACAGGAATAACAAAAGTACCACAACCCTTTGAGTTGCTCCTACACCCCTTCCAGCTCCCCTAACTGCCACTGAGAGTCACTCTTCGTAAAGGTGCACAAAAAGGCCTGCTGGTCTCTGCATTCAGAGGGTTCTCCAAACGCCAGCTGCATTCTGAGCACAAATACAGGTCTCACTGTGCCTTGTGAGCTGTTGGGAGGTAAGCAACACAGTCTCATGTTCTTCTTTGCTAGTCTCAAAAACGATGCTTATCTCCATCCATGGAAGATAACCAAAATAGTTCAACTCTGCTTAGACCCCTTTATAGGCAACAATGTCTGCATGCTTTAAGATTCAGATTATTAGACTAACAAGCATTCAAACTATTCCAACCCAGACTTACTCATGCCTAAAGAATGAAAATATCCTGAGCAAATTAGACGAGGGAGGAAAACTTATCAACTACTGATATAAACATTGCATCAGGTCAAGTCAATTCACTTTGGTAAGTTTTTCACATCTGCTTTCCCAGGGACCCAACATAAGCAGTTAAAAACAAATTCTTGGTGAATGCTGTCTGTCGAAAGTTAAATTCTTTTGCTATTCCCAGCTTGTGATCATTTAAAAGGAATTTTCCAAAGCAGGGTCTAATATTAGACTCAAAATGAAGTTTCCATTCCACTTAGGCGATATTCTCACCAAAGTAACTACTGCATAATCTGATTGTCTTGGAGCTACTCGTTTAGATGCAGATGGACATACTTTAAATACCAACTCCACAGCACTGCTGAGTCTTATCTTGAAGAGACCTTATTCTACAGTGAATTAACAGAAAGATGACTTGTGATTTTAAGTACACTCATATTGTACTGAAAGTCTCTCACTGTGCCAGATTTTATTTCTTTGTATTCCTTACAAGACTTCCAGCTCTTTCATTGTTCATTTTGCTCAATGAACAGTGTTTAAAAAAAAAAAAACAAAACAAACAAACAAAAAAAACCCCACAAAACAACTTCATAAAAAGTTGGAAGATCTTCATGTTATTACAATTCCTCTCCTGCTGCAATATATTACTTCAGCTATAGAACAGAATCATAGAATGGTTTGGGTTGGAAGGGACCTCTAAGATCATCTAGTTCCAACCTCCACGCTACAGAAAGGATACCTCCCTCTAGAGCAGGTTGACCAAAGCCCCATCCAGCCTGGCCTTGAACGCTTCCAGGGAGGAGGCATTCATGACAACAATTATTTCTGTTCAATCTTCCAATGCTCAAGAACTGCAGCACCTAAATGTCACATAAACAAAAGACTGTAGCTGATTTCCTAGTGCCAGTAGTATAGTGCCTATACTACTCACATAGTAGTATATTTGCTTTCAAGCCAAGACACAACTCCTTCAAGACTTGCATCTATCACAGACCAGAGCAGCTCATTCACACCTGCCCATTCAGATACTGGCTCCCAGTATCACCATTCTCTTCCACCAGTTAGCAATAAGACTGCTCAAATCCATTCAAGTGGGTAAAATAAAATAAACCTTCTTAAAGCAACACAACTGTGCTATTAATGCAGCGCTCAGCCTTAATGAAAATCACCAAATTATAGCCTTTCCCTCCACTTCCGTACTTACTATGGCAAAGTTTACATAAGTTTACTTTTTGAAGAGAACTAACAGTAGAGTCCTGGGCACGTCTACAGGCAATGGGAGGTTTAAAGGAATGGGACTGGAGAAGGAACTGAAATGAAAAACAAGGCAGGAAACAGTTTTCTGGATAGGCCATAATCTATGCCTACCTTTTTTTTTATCCCCCAAAGAACCAAGACACTTGTCTTAGTTTCAATGACATTTTTCCCGGGCAGCATCAATCATCAGCTAGATCCTCATCATTCAAATTACATGCTGCAGAGCACTTATCTGTCAAACACACAATTTATCTAAATGCAGGTTGATGCTCATCTTCTTTCCCCCTCGACTTTCAAGTTTTCACATTCACAGCTATCATGAATTCATCACATTGCTGGTGCCAGGTGAATTTAAACCAATCTACTTTGTTCTCAAATTACTCTTTCCTTCAGTGCTCCTGCAATCACTCAAGGAAAAAGATCAGATCTGAAAATTATATATCTTGTTTCTCTGTACGTTAATTTTGATCCGGAGATTTGCCAGAAATCATCAGACAGTGAAACAAGCATTGGTTACAGAGATGCAAAGACACGATCCCAGACTGACTGCCTTCTCACTGTCAGCTTGACTTCTGCTTGTTGTAAAGGAGACTGCCAAACACCCAGCAAGCATGGAAGCAATCAAGGCAGGAAAGGCAAAAGGAAAAGCCAAAGGAGTGCAAGGAGTCCCTAATACATCATAAAAAGAAGCACCAAACAGCATGTGCCCAACTTTAAAAGTGGTCTGTAAGTAAAATAATGACTCCCCTGAGTATTATAAACAGAAATCGGCTATGGCTTTATTCAAAGACTTTATTAGGCTACTGGTATTTGCCATGCCTTATTATTCAATTGAGAAAGAGAAGTTTCAGCAGCATTTTCCACTGTAAAGTACATGTGGTACATATCCAACAAAGAGCCGAGCAAAGAGCACATCCAGGTAAGGAAACCTGGACTGTCTATACTTATTTATAGGCCTTTAACAACAGAACACATATTAAACAGAAAGAGGGCAAAGAGGCAGTGTTTGCTTGCTGTCTCAGCTTTCCCATCTACAGCAGCGGCTGGTAACATCAGCAAGAGCCTGCAGAGCTCACACGTGTGCACAGCGCTGGATGTAAACTGGGACAAGTGCTAATCTCTGTTACTTTACCAAGGAGTTTTGTTAAAAGCAAATGCATTCTCACCACACTGCTCAAAATCTTGCTGCTCAGCTTGGATTTTGCTCTGTACCACTGCTTCAGATTAATTTATTAAGCTAATCAAGGAGCATGAAGATGCTTAGTGGAATCCGCATGGGTCAGTGAACCTTGAATGAGCTCAAGTGAGTCCATGTGACTGACTGCACAGAACACCGTGGGAAGAAATGCTAGAAATACTGATTCTCTTGGTCAATGCCTTGACCATTCCTTGAAAGAAATGGGGAAAAAAGAGAGAGAAAAAAGAAGATCTTTTGATCCTGAGGCATTTCTAGGTTTAGAGCAAAGGCTTTAAGAATATTGTTAAGCAGCCCAAACTAGAGACACAAATGTCCCATCATGACCAACATCTGCTCCAGACTGGTCAGAGGTCCTTGTCTGCATGAAGAGCTTTGACACACAAGAGAGCTTTACCAACCCCATTCCCACGAACCACTTCCCCATGGACACACGGGCTGAAGAAATGGGCTGACAGGAAACCTATGAAGTCCAAGAAGCACAAAGTCACAAATAAGAGACAAAACCAGACCCAAGGAGTGGCAGTGGAGCCCAACTGGATGGGCCTGCAGAAGGAGACACGGTGGTGCTGACAGATGAGCTGCACAAGCCAGCAATGTATCCTCATACCAACACAAGCTGCACAGCAACTGCATTAGTAATAATGGCTAGCAGGTCAAAGGAAGGGATTACTCTCTTCTTTTTGGCATTTCTGAGGCCAAACCTGGGTTACTGTGTCCAGCTTGGCTTTCTCACTGCAGGAATGATACTGGTGAACTGAAACAATTCGGATGGGTAGACCACAAGAAGGGGAGGGGCTGGAGCACACAACGTTCAAGGAAAGGTGTGGAGATCTTTGTTGGTTCAGGATCTTAAAAGTCTTCATATATTTCATAGTAGACTACAGAAAAGACAAAGCTAGAAACCAATGATACACAATGCAAAAATGGAAACTCTCATGGTTCCCTATGAGGATGGTCAAACACAGGAATGGAGGACCAGCTGCAAAATCTCCATCTTTGGAGGTATTCAAACTCTGTGAACTGATCCAATTTCAGAAATAGCCTGCTCTGAACAGAGGATTGCAGGAGATGATCTCCAGAAGACCCGTCATAGAATCATAGAACGGCCAGGGTTGAAAAAGATCACAATGATTCTTTCTAAATTCATTTCACCATGACCCTTTCTAAATTAACCTGTGATCCTAAGATATGCTGAATGAAATCTCCAAT